GGACTCTGCCGAGCCCCTCCCGAGTCGGTCCTCCTCCGCTCGCCCGGCCTACATCAGGCCAGTCCTCACCTGCTGGTACTGACGGCTATTCTTCATTTTAGGAACCTCAGGACTATAGAGGGTCAATACGTCTTCCTCCCTCTCCATCGTGGCAGCCAGTCCTCTCTCCAACTGCCACGGAATGTGTCTCAGCACCTCCTGATGCTGCCGGCAGAACCGGAGGGACCACGCCACCAGCCCTGCTTCCGTGTATCTCCTCAGGGTGGTCCGGTCAGGAAGGAGCCGCGATTCCAGCATGTGCGTGACCTCTCCAGCCTGCTCTCTGACCCCGACCAGCTCCAGCTGCTGTGCGCTGGGGACATCACCAAAGAGGTGACACTGCCATGATGTGGGTGTCAGGTCAGAGGGGAGCTAGTAAGTGGGGGAACCCTCTGGTGTTAACAGGCCAGGCCAGTCACCCCTCAGGGGGACTTCAGGAACCACTTCAGACCTGCGGAAAGGCAGGGTGCTTAGGCCTGTGAGGCTCAGGTCTACACGTACCTATGTCCATCCATGGGACTACGTATTTTGTCATCGTCTATTTTGGAAAGCATTTTGGTTAGAAGAGAACATGCGTAACACTTCTATGTTCTTGAAATAGGGCTAAATTTTTTAAGAAGAGTTAAAAGGGGCCAGCAGGTGACGTGGTGGTTAAGGTGTTGGACTCCCACATGGCCAACGGCGATTCGAGTTCCAGACCTGGCGACTTGCTTTCTCTCTTCCTCTCTGGTAAGCACATGTGCCCTGTAGCAAATTCAAAAATAATAACAATGAGGGGCCGGCAAATGGCATGGTGGTTAAAGGCGCTGGACTCCCACATGGCCGACCGCGGTTCAAGTCTCGGACCTGGGGTCTTGCTTTCTCACTTCCTCTCTCTCTCTCTCTCTCTGTTTCTCTCTGATCAAACTGGAAAATAATAATGATAATAATAATAAATAAAGTTAAATAAAATAATTCTTTAAAAAAATAATAATAATGATGATAAATAAAAATAACTAAGTAATTGTAATGGTCTCCCACATGGCCAAGAGTAGTTCAAGTCCTGGACCTAGTGACTTGCTTTCTCACTTTTCTTTTCTACCTCTGTCTTTTTCTGGTCTAATTAAAAATAATGATGGTGAAGAAAATTAAATAACTCTCTTTTTTTTTTAATTGCATTAATCACCAGAGAATTTTTCATACATTGGCTGCATGGAAGGCCCAGGTTCTGTCCCAACAGGTGGACACAGTTGCACAAACCTGTAATCCCAGCTAATTAGGAGGCTGGGCCAGAGGCTTACTATTCAGCTAACCTTGTCAAAGACATCTATCTTTGCCTATCTCTCTCTCCCTCTTGCTCTCATAAAGAAAAAGAAAAAAGAAAAGGCCAATAAACATAAAAAGATGTGGGAGGCTGTGCACCAGGAGTCTGCCGAGGCCATTTTCAGGAGTCTCTTACTATTGCCATCTTAGGAAGCCCTTAGGTTTCGGTTTCTCAGAGAGCAAACAATGACACAATGCCGAAGGCCACAATTGGCTCCCCTTCAAAACCTCACCTTCAAAACCTTGCTCTGATTGGCCGCTTCCCATAGCACTCACCGATTGGTGAGCTTAGAATTCCTCAGATTTGCATATCTGGCACCTCATGATTGGTCCACAAAAGCAACCAATCATAACCCACTTTTTACAATCCTTCATTTACATATAGAACAACCAATCACCGCCCACCAACATGTACATAACCAGGATCTCTGCTGCATAATAGACGATTCTGAAGAGTTGTTGTAACACTGCGTTGTCTCCGTGCCGTAACAGTGCGTCGTCTCTGCGCCATTCGTCCTGTCTCTCACTCCTTCCCTCAGGAAACCTGTTCGACTGGCCTGCAGGTTGGTACAAAAAGATACTCAACTTTATTATGGAAATTAAACTGTATTACAGTATTTTTGAGAGTGTTATTTATTTAATTTTATTTATTATTATTTTTTAACTTGACTAGAGAGCGAGAGAGAGGGAAAGGGAAAACGAGAAAGCAAGCCGTCAAGTCCAGGACTCGAACCATGGTCAACCAGGTGAGAGTCTAGCACCTTAACTACCACACCACTGGCTGGCCCCAGAAAATAACTCACATTGCTAGTAAATTGTTTATTCATTAAAATTTTCACTGCTATCTCTATGCTAGGCTCTAGACATTAGATTGTGATTTTTTTAAAAGAAGACTTACTTTATTTAACTTTATTTATTTATTTATTTATTTGACCAGAAAGAGACTGGGGGTGGGTGAAAGTGAGAAAGGAGGCTGTCTGGGGTTTGAACCAAGGTTGGCTGCGTATGAGTCACACCCTCTAACCACCATGCCACCTGCCGGCCCCAGATTATGATTTAAAAAAATTTTTTTAACAGTCATTAACTTTCTGATTGGCTAATGCACTGGTCAGAGAGAAGACAATTGGAATAATAGGCAGAGACTTCAAAGAGTTTATAGAAAATGCATGAAACAACTGTGCACGGGGGCTGGCAGGTGGCATGGTGGCTAGGGGCACTAGACTCCCATGTGGCCGACCGTGGGTCAA